CCGAGTCCCGGGGAGCTGAGGCCGCCGGGCGGGGCTCCCGGGCGCGGGCAGCGTGGGAGGACCGGTGGGCTGTGCCCGGTTCCGATCCACAGCGCCTGCGGGGTCCCCCGTGACTGCTGCACGGCCGTGGGTACCGGGGGTAGTTTGCCAGGGCTCCCCAACAGGAAGGTCTCCCCACAGCCCTGGGGCTGCAAGTCCCGGTGGGGGCGGCACCTCCCGAGGCCTGTCCGCGGGGTGCAGAGGCTGCCCCGCCGTGTCCTCCCGGGGGCTCCTGTCCTCCTCTCCTCTTCTTCTAAGGGCACCAGGCCTCTTGGATTAGGACCCACCCACGGGACCTCATTTTCACCCTTTTAAAGTCCCCATCTCCAAAGACAGCCACATTCTGAAGGGGTGGAGGTGAGCACTCAGCATGAACTCTCGGGGGACACGTTTCTCAGCGTCAGTAACAGGGCCTCCGTGTTTATCTGGGCGCTTTTCCACTTGGTTAAACACGACATTGCCCATCCATCCCTTTTAGCGCCACAGCCCTGTAACTAAACAAGCGCTGGCCGATGAGATGTAAGCAGCATGTTCTAGAGTCTTTTTTATTATTATTAAAGGTATATTTTAAATAAAGCCAATAGTTAATTTACTTATAGCAGCTTTAAAAGTAAGATACAAAATAGAGAGTTCCAGTTTGGAAGCGTTGTAGCTATTCACTCAATGTCCTGCTGGTGCCTGAGCAAAGCAGCCGTGCCCGCTCACACACACGCTCACACACGCACACGCTCACACACGCACACTCACACACGCACATGCTCACTCACACACTCACACGCACACGCTCACACACACGCTCACACACGCACATGCTCTCACACGCTCACACAGCCACGCACACGCTCACACACGCACACGCTCACACACACTCACACATGCTCATGCACACGCTCACACACATGCTCACACACACACGCTCACACACACACAACTTGGAGAGACTCCTCTGCCAAGCACAGCACCGGGAATGACCAGTGCTCAGGACCAGGCGGTGCTGAGAACACAGTACCTACCAGACCACACAAACGACTTCATACGGTCTCACAGCCAGCGGAGACGCCATCACAAAACGTCAAGAAAAACAGACTAGAACGGGACAGTTAGCCACGTCGATGTCAGCTGTGCTGGGGCGCCAAGGACTGACCTCTGACCAGGGCGAGATCTTGGGGAGGCACAATTGAAACGAGTGCTTCGGTGCAACAGAACTTGAAATACGGGGCGCTGGTTGTCACGGGAGCAGTTGTTTTGGGTCAAGAGGGTGAACAGCATGTCCTGGGACGACGGAGCCAGGAGCGGGCGATGCCACGCCAGCCGGCCTGCCCATCCCATGAAAGTCTAGGGGAAATGGATTCTACTTTGTTTAAGCCACTGTTGCTTTGGATTATTATGTTGAAATGCTCCTGAACCAAATTCTAATCAGTCCAGAGAGGCGATGGATCACTGAGACCTTATGTCACAACAGATCATGGCTGCTTCAGCCACAGCAGAGTTATCTGCCCAGAACTTACTGTAATCTGGACAAGGAATTTTATAAGGAAGCCTTACAGAAAGGGAATGCCAAGAAGGCAGGTTTTTAAGTTCAGAGAAAAGCTTGGCATAGTCCAAAAACAGCAAAGATTCACTAACACAGCTGGGTGGGCAACCTGGCACGGTGTCTCCGACGACGGGCACAGCCCGAGCCGCAAAGCCACTCCCAGTGACATCCTAGGAGAGCAATCGTGTGTGCGCGAGGACGGTCACTGCCTACAGCAACACCTAGGACAGAAGGAAACGGCACGCACGCCGGACAGGAGGTGGGCTAAAGGCGTCGCGACAGACCCGCCGGACAGCAAACCGCGCTGGTTCTCGGAGGAGCGCTCGTGACACGGGGAAAGGCTACAGCGCGTTCGCGGGTTTCACAACTGTGTGCAGCACGATCCTGCCTTTTTTAAAACAAACACCACACACCCGGCCAGTGTGGCTCAGTGGGCTGAGCACTGGACCGAGCTCCGGGAGGTGGTGGGTTCGACCCACAGGCACCTGCCTGGGCTGTGGGCTCCAACCCCGCGAGAGGCCCCCGACGGAGCTTCTTTCACACGGATGTTTTCCTCTTCCCTCGCCCTTCCTCTCTCAAAATCAATAAAAACCTATTTTTAAATTTAAAAAACTGCGCACACAGGTTTATAACAGTGAGTCTGTGGGCCGGGCAATTAGGTGATTTATATCTTAACCTGTGTGCTTTTCTGGAGTTATCAAATCTTCAGCAATGAATGTGTATAATACTCGGGGAGAAACATAAGAGGTTTTGGTGGGGAGCTAAAAAGGAACGCCTAGCAACACACTTGTGACCGATCCTGCCCAGGAGGAAAGGCAGAAACGTAGACATTTAAAACAGCTTGACACACACCCCCACACCCCCGACAAATGGGGTGCACTCCAGCTGGGCGCCTGGCATCTGCCCTGAATGCAAGACCAGATGGGAGTCTGTGCGGCGAGGCCTGGCCAGAGAAAGAAGGAAACGTTTCGTGAAGCAGAGCCGGACACACACACACGTACACACACACACACAAATGACTGGACCAGCAGCCCCTGAGGGCACTTTGGTGGTGCCCACCCGACCCGAGGGCATTATTGCCGAGCTCGTTGATTCTACAAAAATACACACACACACACACTGCAAAAGACAAGACACAGTCATTGTTCTGAGCAGTCATTTAAATGGACTCCCGCAGAAGCGCGAGCCCCGCCACACGGTGTCCACGCCTGGGGTTTCGGGATGTCACAGCAGTCCTCGCGTGACCTTTTTTCAATCCAGCTTTAGGTGACCCAGTGGGCGAGTGAGAATCAGAGCATGTGATGTAGAAAAGACAACTCAGCTATTAATGTAGACAAACTTGCAGACTCGCGGCACGTTTTAAGATGCGTCAAGCCTGTTTATTGCAAGTCACAGAGGACGAACACAGGCAGCTCCGGGCCTGGGGCTGGCTCTGCCCCTGCGCAGGGAGCGGCACGGCCGAGGCGGCTCCTCCTCGCCAGCTCCGGGGTTAACTAACGCAGCCCTGCAACACATGGCACACCGGTCAGTATTTCCTGAGGCGAGCTGGCTTAACTCTCGGGAAGTGGGCAGATTTCGGGGTGCTAACTGTACGGCAGCACATGCTCACGTTTCCTTTACTTCGTGGCACAGAGTGTACTCAATGCGCACACAGAACCCGCCTCGGGCGGCTCTCCCTTGCACTCCCTGTGTCACGAGCGCTGCCATCTGCCCACCCAGGCCAAGCTCCAGGGGAACCAGGAGGAGCGGCTTCACCCTGCGCAGCACACCCATCGGCTGCGGTTTCCCGTGGGGCGCAGTGAGGAGGTTTCCACACAGGACTGACCGCACCGGGGGTAGCCCGTGCCTAACCCAGTTCTCAGAGGGAGCACGGTCGTGGTCAACGCACTCTGAGATTTTTCTACCTATGGCCTGTGTTTCATACGGAGTGTTAGTGGCAGCCTCTGAGTGAAGCCCAAGAATGGATGGGGTACAGAGCAGAATCATCCACTAGTCCAGGAGAGAACTTCACTTGGGAAAAAATGCTAAATTTGATGCTCCTATAGAAGGTCTCTCCAAACCACTCTCCCACTTTAGGAAGAGAGGCAGCGTTCCCTGTGAAAGTGGGCGAGCGGCAATCCGAGCACGTCATGTTGAGATTAAACGGCATGGGTGGCGTGGTGGTTGGTTCTGAGAGACACTGATTTCTGAGCCCAGCGACCAGGCTCTGCGCTGGCCGAGGAGTGTGAGTCCCCGCGCCACCTTCCCTTGGGGTCAGAGCAGGGTCTTCACCCCAGCAGCACTCAGCATGCGAGGAGTTTCTGGCTGCACACAAATAGCACCATATAGCCAGCTTTTAAACTACGTGAAACATCTTATGGAAGAGGCGTCAAGAAGGGAAACGCAGCCTGGCCGGCGTGGCTCAGCGGTTGAGCGTCAACCTAGGACCCAGGAGGCCCCGGTTCAATTCCGGCTCGGGGCACATGCCCAGGTTGCGGGCTCGATCCCCAGTGGGGGGCGCAGGAGGTGGCCCATCAATGACTCTCATCACTAATGCTTCTATGTCTCTCCCTCTCCTGTCCTCTCTCTGAAATCAATGAAAATATTTAAAAAAGAAAACGGAAAAGCAAGTTCTAACTTGGTGAAATATTTTCTTAACACATCGCATTAAAAAGCCCCAAACTGCCCTGGCTAGTTTGGATCAGTGGTCAGAATGTCGGCCCAAGGACTAAAGGGTCCCAGGTTTGATTCCGGCCAAGGGCGCGTGCATCGGATGCAGGTTCAACCCCGGCCCCAGTCGGGGCGCGTGCAGGAGGCAGTCAATCGATGTCTCTCTCTCCCCCTCCCACTCTTTCTGAAAAGCAATGGGAAAAAGTATCCTTGGTGAGAATTAAACAACAACAAAAAGCCCAAACCACAGTGATGAAAGGTTTCGCCCTCACCCCTCTCCTGAGGAGCCTCCGGAATAAGCTTCGCCTTTTCTTGGCTTTGGGAACCGGCTGGCAGCTTCTGTTTTCTAGATACATTGCCATTTTCTTGTCTTCAATTTCGTTGATGTCCTTGAAACATCCCGACTCAATCATCTGTATCCACAGAAAGGCAGGACCAAGGTCGGCAGCCAGCCCTCGGGCACCACTCCAGCCCCACCTCCGTTCCTGCTTGCCCTGCCCCCTGACCTCTTCCTGGGCAGATAGGGTGGCCTCCCCTTCCCGATGATGCCAGCCAACCCCTGCTTAGGAAGCAGGACTCAGGGCCCGGAGCTCCCATCCAACCCAAATGGCCGCCTTCTGACCACCACCGGGAAGGCACCGGGGCAGCCGCCGTAAATAGTTTTACCTCTCAGCACACTACCACACACAGGTGTGTGTGTGTAAAACAGCCAAGAATATGTGGTAACACGTGCACACACGTCCCTGTCATTTTCTTTGTCCCCGACTAGCGTGCTGACGGGGACAGTACCTCATTCTGCCAGGGGATGGGGACACAACCCGTAACAAACTGGCTGTAGAAGATGTGGTCTGTGGGTTCCAGGTAGACACCTCTCACCGTGGAGAACTGATCGATGTCCGGGAGGTCCTTACAGTAAATCGCACGTGGCTGTGCATGGAGAACAGGGGGCGCCGGCCGTGAGGCCACTGGGCCACTAGGTGTCCTTAACCACTAAGGACACAAGTGCACATGGGGTGGAGGCCTGAACACCTCCAGGCCTGGTCCTGGCCGAGCCCCTCATTTGAAGCACTTCCAACCCCCTCTCCCAGGACACAGTCAGTGTCACCGGCCTGTGGACACTGTCCAACCAGCTTTCTCACCCACGCACCTCTTGAGACCCCATGCGTCCCTTTTCTGCAGTGGACAATGGGTTACAGACAGGCAAGGGTGAAGAGGCGCCGGGTGCTCTTGTGGGGACACGGAGGAGGGTGGAGGCCCTTGGCCCTGGATCTGCACCCCTGCCTCTGACCTCAGCTTCCTTCGTGTCGAGAGTCCGCCTAGTCTAAGTGAACGAAGGCAGACCCCCATCCCTGCTCCATGGTCCCCATCAGAGCTCATCTAAGGTCCGGAGGAAGGCTGATTGGCAGACCCTCCTCTGGCACAGGTGCCAGACTGCCGTCCTCAGGTGCCGGGGGTCAGGAAGCAGAGGGCATGTCAGTGAGAGAGGAAGAGAGCACAGCAGCTGCGGTGGCTGACCTAGCTAACGCCAGGGGTGCCCTGCAGCTCTGAGAATGCACACCCTGTGAGTGTGATGACCACACAGGAAAGTCATGTTCCTAATGCCACCGGTGGGAACTTATCTGAAAGCAGCTGTCACCACAAGGTGGAGACTGGGCCCTGGCCCAAGGCCCAGAACCCATGCTGCCCCCACTCAAACAAAAGTGCTGACACGTTACCATAAGACACTGCTGTCACCACGCGTCCTCTGGTTAAATTCAGGACAACCCCCAGAAATGCCCATAGCCTCTGCCCTGCACCTCTCAGCACCGAGCGACTGTGATCCTTCCTTCCTCAGAGAAGACTGTTGGCCGGCCTCAGTGGCCCACTCAAGTCCCTGCCTGATGTTCTGCTCTTCCTGTGACTGTTTCACTGCAGAGCTGCGCAGGCTGGAGCCAGCTCCGCCTCAGTGGAGACCTGGCTGCATGGCTCTCCCTGTGCCAACACTACAGTGTGTCATCAATATGCAACGTGGAACCAAGACAAGGGCAGGAGCTACTCGTGTAAGATATATGGATATGACCTAAGTCCCAAACTGCACAACTCCACGTTTGAGCTAGACACTTCGCTTTCACCACACCTGCAGGACTGCCTCCCATCCACGCTGCCAGAGGACGCCTGCAGCAGACTGAAGAGAGTCCAGACTCATTCAATCTGTATATGCCTGTGTTCCCACCCGGCAATGACATGTGCCCAGTGCCGGGCCAAGCACCCATTTGGGCACCCCAGCATGTTCAGGTGATGGCTCCAGGGCCCTCCATGTGGAGCCAGGACCTCTGAGACCCCGGTGGGGAAGCGTGTGCCAGCAATGACATCAGAAAGGGACACTGCCGAAGAGGTCATGCAGTGAGTGCTGCTGAGGTTTCTGAGGAGGGCAGTGACAAGGCTCAGCTCCACCAGCAACGAGGGCCCACATCGGCCACCAGGCCAGCAGCCCGAAGCCTGAGCACTGCTGGGAAGGCCTGTGAGGACAAGCCTGGGGCCGTGTGGGGGCAGGGCAGGAGGAGGAACCAGATCCAGGGGACGAGCAAAAGCCACACCCACTGGCTGCGCCAGGTGGCCTGGAGCTGCTGGTGTGAGGCCTGCCTGTTTTGGGACCCGCATTACTCCCTTGGCCACGGTACCTACGTCAGGGCAGAATGGTGGCTCTACCATGTGTACTTCCAGCCGCTGGAAGTTAATGTCCTTGAACACAGGGTGCTGTCTCACGCCAGCGGCTCCATCACCTGTACAGCCCAGGCGATCCGTGGGATTCTTGGTAAGTAACTGTAAGAAGCAGAAATGGAGTCAAAAAGAAACTCAGAAAATCTCCATAACAATCACCAAAAATCAGGGTGGCAAAGAGCACCTCCATCTAAACAGAGTCCCTGAAATTTCAAAGTATTGCCCAAACTTCAGTAATTCAGATTTTACTAATTTAGAATATGTGACGCTTCAAAAAGGAGTTGAAACTAAAGTTTTCCTTTGAGCTATCAGTAAATAGTTTGCTAAATAAATCCTTAGGTTAAAAAAAAACTTAACCATGAAAAATTAGGGGTATTTTTAAAAAGGAATAGAAACCGTTGAGCACTTCAGAGATAACACTTTAATGCTACGTTACGTTTATACTTAGAAACCACTTATACTTAATCTATTCATTAAGCACAGTGGTAGGATTTCAGCGAGGCAAAAAGTTTAGCAAACCTAGTTCTAGAAATTACATATTGTTAAAATTAATAGAGAATAACTCTTTTAAAGATATTCCTTACTCATAAATTTATAATTGTCACAAATCCAGAAAGACCTTCCTCACAGTTATAATCAATCAAAAAGGTTGGGCTGCGCTCAAAGCAACACAGGACCTGGAGCTCAAACACACAGCCGGGACCGGGGCTGGGGAGCTGCAGCAGGGCCACAGCCCCCGGCTGCCGGACTGCACGCAGGTTTGCTGGGACACAGCGGGCCCAGCGTTCAGCTGTGTCTGCTGCTCCTGCACTGGAGGCAGGCTCAATGGTCGTGACAGAGACCAGAGAAGCCTAAGTAACACTGACCATCTGGCACCTCCCAGAAGTTTGCTGCCCCCTGGCTAAACTCACAGCCAGCACCCACCTGAATATAAGTCGGAGTCCCAGGCAAAGGCCAGAGCACATTCTGGCTCCAGCTTACCTGCCTCTTGCTAAGTTGTTTTCATGTTTGTTTTAGGTCTGCCACGAGCCTGTGAGCTCCTTGGGGACAGGCTCTAGTTCTAATTCATATTTTTACATCCCTGCAGCCCTACTGGAGTGGAGCAAGCACTCAGTCAATATTTGTCAGCTGACCATAAGCAGCAGCTTGGCTAGAATGTTATTAAATATGGAGGAGCTGACTCAACACTGTCAGCCCCAAGCAGAATGAGCTGGAAGGAAGGCCCTGATCCCGTCACTCAGTGACAGGCCACCTACACGCACCACTCGTACATGGAAACAAAAGGAAGGGGAAACCGGCATTAATTTACTGTCCAGCCACTATCAACTCCCAGGAGTTACTGATACCCCAGTGTCAGGCATGCAACACGCCTCGCCCCCAGTAACCAGGCTCTCCATCCCGCCCAGCCTCTCCCCCTGGGTCACACCCCGACTCTTCACGGCCAGCAAGCCCTCCTCTGCTGCATTTCAAGCAGCCTCCTCGCTGTTCCCCAGTCTTTCTAACTGTCAAGGAGAAACCAAGACTCCAGCAGGCGGTAGCTCCTGGGACTGGAGCATGAGACACGATGGGGACTTCCGACCTCCCCCTTTACTTAAACCCACGTGGGCCTCTGCCGCTGCCAGGATCAGCCTCCCCTCCCCTCCCTTCACCTCCTCTCCTCCTCAGCTCACACCTCCCACAGCTCCCCCTGCTGGGCGGCTGGTGACCTCAGAAACCAGAAGCCACAGAGTAACGTTCACAGGCTCCCACTGCACTCACTGCCCAGGCCACACCATCCCCGTGCCTGCGCCACTCTCCCACGCTCCACCTTTCCGCCCATGCTCACCGGGAGCAGCCAGGGCAGTGTCCCAGCCCTTCTCCCCTCCATGCAGAACTTGGACTTCCCCACATCAAACCCTGCAGGCACCACCTCCCTATCCAGCAGGCATCTGGCGCTTCTCATCCAGCTCTGCCAGCACCCTGGTCTGAGCCGACACCCCCACTGGAACCCTGCAAAGCCCTGGCTGGCCTCTCTCTGTCCATCCTCGCCGTCTCTTCGCAGCACATCACTCCCCTCAGAACCCTGCGAGGGCTTCCTGAGGCTAGTGGATGCCTCTCCCGTCCCCCCACTGTCTGAGTCTGAACACACCTTCCGGCCCGTTCCCACCCCTTCAGTAAGATGAGCCCCAGGGGGCGGGGCTCTTGTCTGTTTTACTCACTGCTGAAGCCCCAGTGCCTAGGAAAGTCCCACAGATGCCATAAATCCTCACGAATGAAAACATGTCTCAGAACATCTAAGTACTGGCTTCAGTAAGTGACCAAGAGCGCTCCTTTCAGCCCCTTAGTGTCTGGGCAGCCATGGACACTGAGTGAATGAAAGGGGCACCCATCCAGCCCGAGAGCACATGGGGGCAAAGCTGACTGCGCCTCGGGGGGCTCGTCTCCTGCTGTAACACGCAGCCCAGCAGGGCCCTGACATGCTGGAAAGAGGCAGGCGCACAGCAGCTGGAGTCAGGGTGTTGCCAGGATGAGTCCCCGGCAGCCAGCTACAGGGAAAGGAAACACGAGCGAGGAAAACCTCACTGCTTCAAAGTAGGTGAAGGTTCTGCTTTATGTTCAGTTTCATATGAAACTGGTCAGCGACACGAGGCTCAGCTGTATTGAGAAGAGCAGAATGCCTTTGGCTTGCTCTCCCCTCGGCAGCATCTTTGAGACGCAATCAATGAGCTCGACTCCACTCTGCTCTGCTTGACCAGAAACCCAATTACGTCATTTTCCCAGATGACCTCGGGAACGTTTCCTACTGCCTGTCTGGCGGCCTCTACAGAGCCCAAGGGCCTTGCTGCCACCAAACAGGGACAGAGGCTGCTGGAGGTCCCACCGCCAGTGAGAAGGGCAGAGTGAGAAGCTCAACTCCCCACCTGTCTGGAGCCCGACCCACCATCCTGCAGATGGACTTGGCGTCCTCCGAGAACTTCTTGGAATACTCCTCAGGGTCCTCCTTCACGCGCCGCTCCACCTCCTCCCGTTTGACTTTCTCTTTGAATTTTCTGAATGGAGAATGTCCCTGAATCATTTCATATATCACACAGCCAAGTCCCCACCAGTCAGGACTAAAGGTATAGTTCTCATTATTGATAACTTCAGGAGCTACATAACAAATACAGGAAATTTAAATCAAATTTTAGTTTTAAATTTTCTTGTAATTAATTCAAAATAACACACTAAAAATTTAACATTTGTCACAACATGGATGAACCTAGAAACACGTTAAGCGAAAGAACCAGGAATAAAAGGCTGACTAGTGTATGACTGTATTTCCATGAAACAGGCAAACTCGCCAAGTGCACAGGGACAGAAAGTGGATCCGTGGTTGCAGGGCTGGGATGGGAGGTGACCATCAGGGAGCAACTGTCGATGGGCACGGGGCTTCTTTCTGAGGTGACAAAACTGTTCTGAAATTAGGTGGTGGTGGTAGATGCACAAGGCTGTGACTATACCAAGGTCCTCTGAGCTGTACACTCAGATTAATGGGCTCCATGGTACATGAATTACATTTCAATACAGTGTCACTGGAAACTGTACACTATTCAGAGGGCATGAGATGAATCCCTACAGAGTAACTGCTGGAAGGGTGCTCCCGCTAAACACACAGAGCCACAGCCACGGGAGCCCTGGGCAATGGCCATCGATTGCCAACGTCGTCAGGCCCCCAGCAGCAGGTGACGGCGGAAGCAGTGGGCTGTGGGGAGTTACCACGGGGCTCTGCAGAGGCCTTCAGGGTCCCTCCTTCATGTCAAAAGCCACCCTGAGCTCAGGCTGGCGCCCCAACCACAGTTCTGAGGTTACTCCTCTGGAGCTGACCCAAGGCTGGGCCCCTGTTCACCCAGCTTTAGAATAACCAGAGGACAGTTTCACAGGGTCTATGAGGCCAGCATGCACTGAGGGTGGCAGCAGCAGAGTGAGACAGGCTGCCGGGTCCCGACCCTGCCTTCACGGAGCCCGAGACATCTCTGGGCCTCAGTCCCACCTAGGAGAGGAGCGGATGGGAGGACTCCTCCACGCTCCCATGCGGTCGGCACAACTTCAAACACCACCTGTGCCTCAGATGAAACTGACTCTAGGTGTGCTGAATGTCTCTGTGTCCTGAGGACTTGGGCACCTAGACAGAAAGTGCAAGGCTCGCTGAAGGGGTCTTCTACGTACCCATGTAGCCGACTGTTCCAACTCTTCCTTGAACCATCTGCCCTTTCGGAATCTCCATGGCTAAACCAAGATCTGAAATCCGGATGTGTCCTACGTGTGTTCAAACACATTATACAGATCATAGGGGGGTCATGCTGACACTTAAACAACAGTGTGACACAGGGATACCATCTAAAACATGGAGGGAGACTACAGCAATCCACACTTGGAAACACTGAAACCTAAGGCTACACTGACCTTTCCCACATTTGCTATAAAATATTACCCAGTGCCTTCAGTCCCACTAATGGCAGGAAATAAGACATGCCTGGCTACTGATCAGGGAGCCCTTGAACCACAGACAGCCAGTGGATAAGCCTCCAAGGCACTGAAATAGTTTCAACCAGTCTACATAGTGCTTGAGACAGGAACGTGGACCTTGGACCTAGGCCGCACTGCACCACAAATCCTGCCATGCCCAGGGTGCGCCGGACCCAGGAGACAGCAGGGAGGGAGGGTGACAGTGGGCTCCAGAGCCATGGCTGGGGTGTGAGCCCCAGCACTGCCGCACATTAGCGCCTCGGTTTCCTCCTCCTGCAGAGAAGGGTTCCCTCAACAGTGCAGTTTTATGTGTTGTATGTTTAAGTAGAGCAAACAGACGTTGTAAAATTTTAAGTTCCCATCTCATTTTCCTTTTAGAAAGTGATTTTTTAAAACTGAGAAGTGAACAGTAAACCTACTGACAAACTGACAAAAACTGGAAGTCTGAGAACATGGTTTGTAGGCCGTGTGTGGGGAAGCAGCACACTCACCCCTGCTGGTGCGGATACAAACCAGCACAACAGCCCTGGCCAGTGTGGCTCAGCTGGTTGAGCGCCCATCCCATGCACCAAGGGGTCGCTGGTTCGATTCCCAGTCAGGGCACATGCCTGAGTTGTGGGCTCCATTCCCAGTACGGGGCGTGCAGGAGGCAGCTGATTGATGCTTCTCTCTCTCCCCCTATCCCTTCCTCTCTCTCTAAATTCAATAAAAACAGCTCTGGCCAGACTGGCTCAGTGGTTAAAGCATCAGCCCACAGACCAAACGGTCCCGGGTTTGATTCCTGGTCAAGGGCATGGACCTCGTTTGCAGGGTCAATCCCCAGCCACATCTGGGAAACATGTGGGAGACAATCAATCGATGTTTCTCTCTGTCTTTTCCCCTATTTCCTCCCCTCCACTCTCTCTAAAAAAAATCAATGGAAAAAACACCCTCGGGTGACAATTAAAAAAATAATAAAATAAAATCATTAAAAACATATTTTACAAACAAACAAACAAAATACCAGCACAATACCCTCCACAGGGATCTGGCAGAACTGCATGTAATCTAGACTTTGGCCTAACAGCCCACTTCTAGTAATGTGCCCCAGGGATGCACGAGGAAAACAAGTGTGTCGCGTGCCCCAGGCTGCGCGCTGCACAGAGCGAGACGGCAGGGACGGGACCACCCACCCCCTCCTGCCAGCTGAGGGGTCTGGGAGATCTCCTCTGAGTGCTGGAGCATGATCTCTGCTACATTCTAAAAAAGCAAAGTGAAGAAAAACGTTGTAAGTATGTTCATCTCATTAGAAACTAGTATTTTCAGCATTAAGAGAGCAACGCAAAATGAAGAAGTAAAGAAAGAACTGGGAATATCAATATGAACCCATGATGAGTATTTTCTTTAAAAAAAAAAAAAAAGTGCCCAGCCGGGCGTGGCTCAGTGGCTCAGCGGTTAAGCATCGACCTAGGATCCAGGCAATCAGGGTTCGATTCCCAGTCAGGGCACATGCCCGGGTTGTGGGCTGCAGCCGATCAATGACTCTCTCAACATTGATGTTTCTATCTCTCTCTCTCCCTCTCCTTTCCTCTCTCTGAGATCAATAAAGATAAATTTAAAAAAAAGAAAAACACACATTTTCTCTGCCCACTGAGAAGGCCTAGGAAGAACGACCCACACAGATGCGGCGGCACCTTGATGCCCACACAGCCTCACGATGCCAACCACGCAGAAGACAGCCCTGGAGAGAGGTGGACCCAGGCCGCAGTCAGCACACGCGCACGGGAATCCTGGACGTCACCATGGCAGAGAACAGGGAAGGTGCTAAAGTCTCCCGGGCACTCGCTGGCTGGGGGACGATCTGATCAAAAAGAATGACTCCAATGACTGAAACGTATCAAAGTGTCAAAACCCATCAGCTCATGATGACGGCAAACAGGAAAACGCACATCTCTGTCGTCTTGGAGAATGACAGAGAACTGCCGCCGTGCGGCGTAGCAGCCGGGTGTGTCACCCGGTTTTCCTGAACAAACAGGTAAACAAATGTTGATGAAGCAAAGTTCTTTTTCACAGATGAATCCCAACAAGTAAGTACAGAAGGAATGACAGAATTAGAATGTCGTCACTGAACAGTCCCAGTGAAATGATGTCTTGACACTGACCATCAAAGCCATTAAGGGAAAGGCTGGCGGGAACTGAACAATGGACGGAGCAGGCCGACAACACCGAAACCACTGATCTGTCTGAGCACCTTAAAAAGAGAGACACTCACCACCACCACCTGCCTGCTGATGCTATACAGCAGGAAGTACACACGACGTCCGCTTACCCGCAATCAAACCCGGACCTACTCCAGCCTGCAGGCCTAACTACTGGCATACATGAAACGCAAGAGGGGCAGGGAACACTTTACATCCAGCCAAATCCACAGCATGGAAATTCTACTGCACAAATGTCTGTGCATAGCCTGCCAGGGCCACTGTAACACAGTGCCCCAGACTGGGGTCTTAAACAGCAGAACTTTACTTCCTCACAGTCCAGGGGGCGGGAAGTCCAAGATTGAGGTGTTGGAAGGGTTGGCCTTTCTCCTTGGCAAGTAGACTACAGCCCTCTCCCTGCGCCCTGGGTCCTCACATCACCTTCCCTCTGTGTGTGTCTGTGTCCCACCTCATCTCTTCTTATAGGACACAGTCAGACTGGACCAGGGCCCACCCTAATGACCACATTTTACCTTAATTTTAAAGACCCCATCTCCAAATACAAGTCACATTCTGAGGTGCTGTGGGCCAGGGCTTCACCACAGGAATTTTGGAGGGATACAGTTCTGCCCATAATGCTTGGTTTCACAAACAAATAACAAAGAGAAGCAGGGAGGAGGAGCCTATGGAAGTTTAAAAAGGCTCAACAAGGTATCAACCAAATGTCATGTGGGGATTACTGAATATTCAATACACATCTCAACACTTAGGATGCAACTGAGATTTGAAGCCTGGGATACTAGGTGATGTTAAGGAATCGTTAAATACTTTTGGATACAATAGCAGTGTTGCGTTTATGTTAAGAATGTCTGGAACTTCGACTTCCAACCAAGAAGGAGCAACTGATACAAAACTTGCCCTGCTACCATAGGTAATTTAAAGTACGGCCCAAAACACTGTTGGACACTGGGTCCAGGCAGCTGAGAACCGTGATTCCTGAGACAAGAGGAGAAAGTGGGTGGGCCCCTGGCCTTTGTGGCATCCTCCGTAGGAGCGGCGCCAGACCATGGCACAGGAAGGGGAACAGGAGCAGGGCGGGTGGCCCTGTTAGTTAAGAAGACAGACGAGAACTTGGGAAAGATGGCACAGCTCAGACCTGGGGTGAAGTTCTAGAGGAGGGGCTATGCAGAGAAGGGTCTACAAATATCCCCATGGAGTTTCCTTCTACTTACAAAACGAATATATAAATGACCTTTGAATATGTAATATGAATACCATTCATTTGATGGTAACGCTGAGAGAAATTAAAGGAGCCCAAATATACAGAACTATACGCTACGTTCATAAACTAAATGATTCGGTATTAAGATGTCAATCTTCCACAAGTTTTCTATAGATTCAACACAGTTCCAATCAAAATCCCAGCATTTTGTGTTTGGGTTTTGTTTGTTTACTGAGATTGAATGATATACAAAAAATATATAAAAAGGTATCCAAGCCGTGGAAAGAGGTCCTCTGTGCCGCTCACACTCTCAGGAGTTTTTATGGCTCTTCCTTTATGTTTCTTTTTTTTACCAGAGGATAAATTTTTACTGATTTTAGAGAGAGAAAGGGAGAGAGAGAGAGAAGCATTGACCGGCTGCCTCCCATACCCACCCGGACCAGGGAATGTGCCTGGACAATGCTCCAACCAGCCGAGCCACATGGCCAGGGCTCCTTTGTGCCTCTTCGTGGGCAGAGAAGCAAATGCAATCGCAATCACTATCCCGCTCCCCCATTTTTTACACAAAAGGTAGCGCACTACACAGGGCTCTGAGCCTTACTTTTTCAACTAACAACAGATATTGGAGCTCGCTCCCCAAGTGCACACAGAGCACAGCTTCCCTTTTAAAGCTGTTTTAATCCTCACTGGTCCAAAGCACAACACAAAGAACAAGCCATAGGGGTTGGGGTTGGGGTTGGGGTGAGAAGAGGGAAAACAAGAATGAACCACAGGAAGGGAAGCTATGGACAGGACCTTGGCAAGACACTACCAAAGCCTGGACCCGTCACCTTAGTGAGAAGGCATTACCTTCCCCACAGGGTGGCTGCCTTAGGCAAACAGGGCTGCAGGGGCCCCACTCGGGTGTGTGGGAGGGGGGTGTGGGAGGGAGCCTGTGCATTGGAAGTGCCGCACGTTCGCCTTCGACCCCCCTCTCCTCTGTCAGAGTCCTGCTGGCCCTGCCTCATGCCCCCCACTAGACTGTAAGACTTCTCAGACAGCCAAAAATCACCCCGACAAAGTCCCCTCCCAAAGGACTAATGTGGGTACTTGATACACCAGCTAGAGGCCTGGCAACAGCTTGCATTCCCTGGTGCGTTGTCACCCGGAGAGCCCAGCCGAGAGGGCCCCACGCTGTGGACCAAGAGCCAGCCCACGGGGGCCATTCCTGCCCACTCTCACATGTTCCCCACTGCTGGTGTGAGAGAGCCCATGTGGCATCTGCGCTGCTGCCCCGTGACACACGCTCTACAGAGGGCAGCACCTAGAGCAGCATGCCAATGTTCAGGAGGGCAGGGAGACCCACGTCTGAGGAGTAAAGTAAGATGCGGGTAAACAGCAAGCCCGGAGAGAGAGGTGTTCTCACTGAGAGTTTACCTTGACGTGCTTCTAAAACTCAATGTTAACTGCCGCTTGTCGCAATCCAGGGCAGTGCCGGTGTTATCCACATTACACTTTCAAAGGAACACGTAACAGTTCCCGTCTGTTGTTTCTACTCTGCATTAACTTTCTGCCTCCATGTCCCTCTTAACAAAGTCTATGCTCTGGACGGAAAAGGCTCACTCACCATAATCATCGAGGAGAATATTATCCGGCTTTAAGTCTCTGCAAAGGGAGAAACCACAACAAAAAGCCCAGCTATTTAGGAGTCAACACTGTGATCCCTCAGCAGGCCAAGGAAATGACAGCAGCCATCTCTGTGCCATGAGCAATGGCAGGAACGGTCACGTAAGAGTGAGTGCAAGTGACCTAAGCAGGTGTGGGATGAGCAGTGAACCCAGAAAATAAAGTGACTGGGGCAAGATTCAGGAGCAGTTTGGTGGCCAACTGGATGGGGGGATGAGATCAAGGGATCCACAGACCCCTGGGATTTGGGGAGAAAGGGTGAGGCTGGCAATGCCTACTAGGGAGCAGTCACAGGTAGTGGGCAGGTGAGCACAGGGGTAAGCGGGTGAAACGGCCCAGGGAGTGACAGGAAGAGCGCCAGGGCCCAGGGGCTCCAGCACCTACAGGATGGATGGGGGCTGGTTTCCCCCAAACTAAATACATTCTTGACACTAAACCAATTCTGTTAAATTAATTTAATTTTCTTTACTAAATTCTAAAATGTAAAAATACTACAGTAAATATAACTTTAAGACATTAGTTGGAACAGAGTCCACAGTCCCTCGCAGGACTGTTAAAATGTCTAAGAATGTTGGAAATGGGTGAGTGGCACTGCCCACGTTTGATAAACTTAACAAAAACTGCTTACTAGAGATGAAAGAGAACTGAAAGGAAAACCAAGATCCACTTCTGACTGGCCATAATGTGAGCGACCAGCCCCTAGGAAGCACACCCTCTGCCACCCCCACCCCTCACCCCCGCCCCAG